CCGAGCGCCTTTCCCCGGCAGCAGCGGCACGTGATCGACTTACGACCTTCGTAAACTCGGGCTATTGTGGCGCACCGCAGGGGTGCCCTCATGTCTGCATAATCTTACAAACCTCCCACAGGATTCTTACCGTAAACGGCTAGGCATGTACCGTTTAGAAATAGTCTAGAATGCCGTGCATGGATCGATTGCGAAAAAAGAACTGTCAAATCTAAAGGTTATTAACTGGGTCAATTCCTACGGATCCGTATGTACATGTGTACTTTGTTATGTACCTCCCTATGAAATCCCTCCACGAGAATACCTACATATATCTAATTTACCCAGAAGAACAATGCATTATGCCAACCACCTAATTTACTACGCATAATGTATTGATTAATATGTGATGTGATATTCGAGATGTTCATTTATAATTATGTACATAAGTAGCCTCGTTCAACTTAACGCCGAACCGTAATAAAAGATCTAACTCTAAATTTCGACCATCTATACTCTAACATATATAAACGTCGTATGTCATTTGCAACCGAGCCAATATAAAAGACCTCCAAATGCTACGTTAATAACGAGATGCTGTCCCAAACTCCACGCCATGCTGTACAAATACTTTGGTGAGAATACAGTCCATATGAATAAATGCGTCCTCAATGTCGTGCAGGCTACCATCACGAACACAAGAGAGACTGTCACAAACAACGTCAAAATTGCAGCATGCTGCTGATACACACGATCGTGGCCAGGCTTCGCTAATTCCCTGCTTTGAAGGAGTAGCAAGTTTGATGCTGAGGTCCACCATATCGGGGCAGCCCAGTTGCTGAGGAACGTTAAGACTCCTACGGCAAAGATATTAAATCCGCTGACGCCATTGTACGCGTTTGACAAATCCACGCCGGAGATCGCGTTGGAGCCTCCCATTGCGAAGAAGGAAGCAAATTGCAGTAGCAGCGATGATATCGTGACGTCTACAGCTCCCAGATGGAGCCCGCTCAGGTATAGGTAAATGACCCGAAATAGTAAGAAGAGGGGTATGTTGGTTACTCGAGACTGTGTCAACGCAAAAAGCGTATACAAGTGATGCAGGGTTCGTATCGCTGCGTGGAAGTTAGCCGGCATTGTTTCTTACTTATAAAGAAAACTCACCATCCCCTTTAGATTGCTCAGTCCCCTGCACAAAAATACTGTACAAGGGACATATTGAAGTAAGTCCAAGACCGAGGAACACCGCCCGTGCTCGGTTCACAAGGGTCGGTCCGTCAAATAAGTCCACAAGCGTCTTCGCAAATCCAACAATTAGCTCAGGGGCGTCTTCGTTAGTAAAAGCGAGCTTGAAAGATATTGCTGATGTCGCTAGTCCCACAACTATGGAACCTGAGATAGTAGTTGGGATCCTCCGAAGCCCGTTAAATAATTCCAAAGAGACCATCGCATACGTCGTGAGGGTAAGAGACCAGAGCAATTGCGGATTTGACGCCACAAAACTAGTCACGATATCGGGCTCACCGGCAAACTTTTGCCCAGTCTGGTTCCACCCTCGAGTCAACCGCATAGCGCCAAGCGCAATGAGGCCCATGAGGAAAGACTTATACGTCGCCCTTGGACTCCTGCTTCTACGTTAGTGCGGTAATATCGAACCCCGATAGATGCTACTTACGACCTAATCGCGAGATAGAGTAACCACGCAGAAGTAGCCCAATACCAAAAGTGTTGCTCTTCCTCAACATAACTACTAGCAAACATCATTATGCCATATAGCACCGTGATGAGTACAAATGGTGCTAAGTTAGAAGCTGTTACGGAAGGTAAAGTTACTACGGTGTATACCGCTGCGATAGAGGCCACTACCGCTACCACTTCGCCGTAGATGAGCATTGACATATCATAGTTGCTCGCCATGCCGCTCATTAAAGTCTGCGCCCTTGATAACCACTGAGGGTTGTTAATACGTCATACCCAGTTGCGAAAATATTAATGGGTTAAATCTCGCACCTTTGACACATCCATTATCTGGTCCTCGCCTGGATTTCCCCCGCTTGAGGCAGTTTCAATTATTTTGCTAATTTGCTGCCATTCACAGGCCAATTCTTCGGCCCCGGAGCTAGGGCGAACACAATCAAGGCTGGGGTTTCTACCAACTGATGATGAACCACTAAAGCTTGCGGTGACAATATCGAGGATCTGCCTTGCGTTACGCACAAGAATATGGAGCCTATCTCGTTCTTAAACTAGTTAGCACGGCGTCTACCAATTACGAAGAGGGTTACTTGCTCTCTGGCCAAAAAGGTAGAAAGTCTACCATAAACGAGCCTAGATTATTTTTGGGTATCGGGAAGCCGAGCAAAGCGGCAAGAGTAGGGGCTAGATCGGACTGCTCTACGACATTATAATACTGGAAATCCTCGACAAAATCTGCTGGCACTTTGACGGGTTTTGCGATGGGCTTCAGTTTAGGTGATACAAACACGAGGGCAGCTGAAGTTTCTCCAGGAGAAGAGGCTCCATGGTTACCAGCATCATTCATGCCATGGTCACCACAGAAAATAAGAAGAGTCGAATGAAGATGCGGCTGCGTCTCTATTGCCTCGTATATTAGGCGAATGATTCCGTCCATCTCCTGCTGCTTCGGAATCATATTTGGGCCCCGAGGGCCAGTTTTATGGCCAATATGGTCGAGACCGAGGTAATGGAGAACCATTGTATTCCAGTCATCGTTGCGCAACTCGCCGGGGATGTGCCTCGTCACGTTGTTGTCGACTTCTGTAAAATCGGAGACGAAGAAGCTCGAAGTGCCGTCCGCTCGATCGAACACACCGGGGAATAATTTTAGCCACGTATCATCACCATACATAACTAGCTTCCCTGATTTTTTTGCCTTCATCTGAGCGAGCCAGGTGTCCTGGACAGCGAGCGTCGAAGACGTGTCGGCTTCGTCGAAACTCAAGATCGCGTCGAGGAAGGAAGGCGTAGAACCAGTAGTAATCGCTTTTATCCGAGGCATCGTGATAGTCGGCGACGTAGCATGAGCGGTGTAGGGAATGGCAACTCCATTTTGAATAAGCCTGGGAGTTCGTGTCAGCGATACAGGCCCGCGAATTATGCCTCGATTCCTCTAACCCTTGGGTAAACTCGAAACCGGAGCCATTTAGATATACGAAGTCGCTGCGCTGGTCAGTTAGACAAGCGCACGGTGACGGGTGATAGTTGCGCCAAGTAAACGAACCTGCGCAAAGCATCGACAACCATGAATATTAGACGATCGAACGGCGCTTCGGGTGGCGAGCCATAATCGAGGGATTGGTACTCGGCTAGACCAGGCAAGAATGGTTTATAGGGAAAGAAACCAACGGCGAAGAGGAGGATTGCGACAGGTATTAGAAGATTAGCTGCGACGAGAAGTATAGTCGAGACCGGGAAGACATTATGGCGGTACATGACCAATTGTAGCGCATAGATCAGCTTTTCCGGCCGGTTATAGCTGTATTTATGAATGCAAGCTAGAGGTCAATTTCACCTATGCTCCATTGTCTATCATGAAGTGAGGGTTCGATTAGAATAGTAACTAGAACTGATTGATTTCGGGATGTTGAAAGCTGAAATTACAGAGCTGATAGATCCACTCTTAACGTTGCACCAGGTAATGTACATACTTCCATGTGCAAGCGCGAAGGGACAGGTGTATCTTCTTGCCCTGTAATAATAAGGTTAGGTACCGTGGGGCGCTGTATGCATCTACTGAAGTGTTCTTTGCAGCTAGGCCTGCTAGGTCATGTACCGATGTAGCTACCCAAGTACCAGAGGGACCCATACACCCCACAACCCGATCAGATGTTCATGCATATGTCAAGACCCACTCTCTCGTCGATTTCATCCCACTTCTGGAGCTTTCCAAGACAAGTTCAACATTGCCGCAAGCTCAAACAAGCTATTCTCTTCAATAATGTTTTAAGTAATTCAAGAGCCAAGTCTTATCATGACTATCAACGATCCGCCTGATAACATTTTTATCCGCTTCAAGAATCACATCGACAACAACATCTACCGAGGTTTTCAGACCATTCTCACATTGCCAGTACATATGGAGAACCGTGAGCAAGAAATGGACAACAGTCCAACCAACAGCCACGATATTGTTCCCCAGCAAAGAAAGCAGGTGATTCCTCCATCAAATTCGAGTACATCAAGTCCAGATGATACGAGAGAGGCCGAAGTAGAAGACGTCTACCACTGGGCCATCTCATCTCCATATTCTCCTCTAAATCTACAGTCCTTACGGCAACCTCGCCCGACTGATGCGCCTCGGGATTACCCCGATTGCTTCACCTTCCGGGACGCATTCGAGGATCTCTTAGCAGTGAATTCTGGAAAACCTCTATCTGACCTGCGCAGACTCGTATTCTCCAAACACTTTGAGCATGTGCGGTACTTTCCCTGGGGAATGTCCGTTGAAAATTGGGTTGCCGGCGTTGGACTTCGCGGCCTTTGGAGCGCTTATTTCCCCCTCTCCCCATCGGCTAAGCGTGATTTGTCCTGTGGTATAATCTCTCCTTGGAGGAGTCTACAGATAGGAGAAACGACGTTCCATCAATCACCCGTATCGATGTGGCCTAGCATGATCCTCCCGCCTTGGGAACATCACCGGTCGTGGCGATATGGCGATCCGATCGGGTCTGAAGAAAAGCCAGCTGAGCATGAAGATGAAACGACGTACCCCCAAGAAGCAGACACGGAATATGATCTATACGAGCCTCCGCGCTCCGAGCCTACTACGGATAATAAGGTAGTAGAGATAAATACTCCTCGAGGACTAAGTAATCAAACGAGATCGAGCCAGGCTACTGATTCCCAGGATTCTAATGACGGGACTGTGACCCAGACGATCGAAACACCAGATGGCGGTAAGATTGTAAAGACCATCGAACAGCACGGCTCAAAATTCGGGAAAAGAGTCAATACTACTACAAAACGATTTAATGCTGCTGGCGAGCTGGTCTCTAGTAGCCGGACAAGCAGCTGGTCATGGTCTTATCAGTCCCCGAACCTATCTTCAAAATCGTTTGATGAAGAGGGGTCAGATTCAGATGACGAGAATGCAGATTGGCCCGATGACAAGGAGGGAAGGTCTACTGGAAAGGATCCCAAGTCTAATGGTTGGTTTTGGAAATAGCTTCAACTTTGAACATGGCCCCCTTTGTATCGTCTATAATGAGATACTATGAGCATCACCGCTTACTTTCAAGCATACGCCTTCATGTATATACCTACGCAGCTCGTTTAAACACGCTAATAATACATAATTGCAAGTTAGCAGAAATAAATTACCATTGAATACACGTGTTGGAAGCCCCTTATCATCGCTCGAAAATCATGCTTTTGTTTAGTTATCTAATTATAGCTCGTGGTTCTAGACATAGCTAGTAGCTACATGGTACACTCAATGACGTGCCTGAGCCTTCTTCTTCCTCGTCATCCGTTTCCTCGCGATAATCTTCTGCTGTAAAGCATCCTTCTCCGAGACTTCCTCGCTCGCCTTGGCACCAGAATTATCACCTGCTGCTTCAACCTTTTTCTGCCCCCGCCATTTCCCATTTGATACAGAAAAGTCCTTGCCTCTTGGTAGATACCTCGATCCATTCGCATTCGCACCTCTATCTTGGCCTTCACCATCAGGGCGCTGATTGCTTCGGAATGTCCGTTGTCTTTCTTGGTTGTCCTTCCTCCTTGCTACAACCTGAGCGTTCTCAATGGCAAACTCGACAATCAAGCGCTGCGTTTTCCCAGTCGGGGTCTTCAATGCGTGCCCGTTCAGCCACCGTAAGCCCATGAGTGCCCATCGATGCGAGGAGTATTCGATAAAGCCATAGCCTCGACTTTTACTGGCACCGTCCACTTCAGGCACCTTTGATCCTTCTTTGTTCTCGAATACTATCTTCGCCTGCTTGACTATACCCTTACCCTTCTCTTTCCGCCGGCGTTCGGCCTCCTTGTCTTCCTCTCCGCCTCGGGCATTCTCTTCTTTGGAAAGCGGCTCTCTTCGACCTTCCTTGACATCCTTAGCGAAGCCAACAACAGCTTCACGAGCTAAAGCCTTAAGCTTCTTTGAATCCAAATCGCGGGGGATATTGCGAATCGCTAAACGAGTAAGACTTAGATGGAGACTTGGGTTGCTTTCAATGAGCTTTTTCCGTTGGGCAGCGCTATCTTCGCGAATCTTGACTTCCGTAGGAGCGAGCGTCGCATATAGAGGCGAGTCCGTCATGAGAGCACCTTCAGATAATAAGTATAGTCGGCGCTTATCCTTTTCCTTGCCAAGCCGAGCGGCAATACCCTTCTCTGCGAGATTACTCGCTTCGTCTTTGCTTACAGCCTGTGACACTTGAAGAATGCGACCGTCCATAGTGTACTTGCCCTGCTCATCCGCTAGTTCGTTCTGCAGAATCGACTTTTTATTGGGTATCGTAGACTGCTGAGCGCGTGGTGCACCCTTGAGACATGCCTTGGAATCATTTTCGCTGACAAAACAGACGAAACCTGTGCCGGCCGGCCGATCAGTCGCTCGATCGACTACGATACGGGCGTACCTGACGCGTCCAAATTGCTCGAAGTGAGATTTTAGTTCTGCGTCTGTAGCTGTAAAGGGTAGATTGCGAATAAAAACAGTCGACTTATTATCTGTCATAAAGGGTTTCTTAGGGGTAAGCTCGCTTCCTAATGCAGCACCACCTTCATTATCAGCGTCTTCAGATTTGTCATCGTCTGGGTTGGCATCGCTGTCTTCATCCTCCAGATTTTCCATATGGTTTTTCATGAAATTTTTTATATCCTCATCCTCTTCGTCGTCTTCGTCTTCGTCTTCTTTCTCGCTCTGGTCTTCGCCTGACTTAGCGCCATCATCTTCCAATGCTTCGTCCTGGTCCGCAGGCTTAGTATTTTTACTCATGCTGTCATCTTTATCTGGTTGTTGCTTCTGTTGCTCCCACGTCTGCTTATCAACAGCCCAGTCGACAGCTAGAGTTCTGCCGTCAATGGTCTTCCCATTGATAGCTTCTATAGCCTTTTCCGCATTCTTCCGGCCACGCATGGTGATGAAACCGAACCCCGAGAGTTTCCCTTTGGCATTTGGAAGGTCGGCATATTTTACTTTTCCAAACCCCTGGAATAAGGATGCGAGTTGATCTGACTTCTTGATGCTCCAGGGCAAATTTCGTACGATCAACTTGGGTGCTTTACGAGCCTCAGCCAGGGTTGCTTGCCTCTCGGCCTTCTTAGTAGCGGCATCTACCGACTCGGTACCTGGTTGGCGATGTCGGGGTTCTGCAATTTCCAAAACTAATGGACGACCGTCCAACTTCTGTTTGTCGAGCTTTTCTTTAGCCTCTTTAGCATCGTCGGCGTCGGTGAAAGTAACGAAGCCATAACCGCGAGAAGCCTTGGTCTGGGGGTCAAGAATGACAGTAGCATGCTTTATGGGGAAATGTTGAGAGAAGAATTCGGTCAAGGTCTCGGCGGTGGCTGTAGGCGGAAGTGATCGCACAAAGAGAGATCTGCTCTGCTCAACTCGAGCTTTCTTGGTAGGTGGCTCGACAGTGGAATCGACATCTTTCGAAGGCGCATTTGAGTTTAAGTCTGTTCCAGACGCTCTGGATCTTTTAAGATCACTGCTACTACCCATTTTCACTTCCACATACGACTTCTGCTACAATTGATACCGGTGAGATAACGATGGCGCAGATGAACGTAGCTTAGAGAGAATAAAAATTATAGTCTGGAAAGAGGAAAAAAGTCCGATAAGTAAATTTATCGATAAGGATAGTATTAGCGTATAAGTGGAAGTGCACATCTAGAGAAGTACCTAAACGCACGCTAAATGAGTTCGGTACTTCAGGTAATTACGGAGCCTATTAAATGCGTTGAACCGTCAGACCGTGTAATACGGCGCGGGGTAGAAAACGGAAATGCTTTGGCAGTTGTCCTAGCAGCCGTTTCGGTTTATTGATTTACTTACCAAATATAGGAAAGTCGCGCCAACACAAAAAAACATTACCTTACCCTGTAGCAATAGCAATGTAGATGTCCCATTCATTAGATGTCCATAGTGGGGGATACCAACGATATCGCGATACATTTTGCGCGTCTACTTTTACACTCATTATTTTGCTCCAAGTGGCCAAATAGATTCGCTATATTCTCAATTCCTATAGACACTTCGTTATCCACCTCTTTCCAACTCGAAATCAAATCTACTATATCCTTGGGCGCATATTTTTCACCGCCTACGGCATAGGTTCCGAGGGGTCAATACAAACAGCTAAACTAATATATGTAACGGAACTATCCTATTCAGCATGCCAGCTCGAGCATCTGCTAGGTCCACGCGGACCGCTGGCGCCGTATCCAGCAAGGCGTCCCGACGAGTATCGTCGTCAAGTATCGATCTTCCCGAAGAAACGCCCGACAGCCAGTTGCGAACCCAAATATGTGCAATATTCCGCGACGCGCAGAAGACAACCGCCACTCATAGAAAATTAGTTGTCAATCTCCGTAAGATCCACGAGGCTTGCTGTTACGAGCCCACGCGCCCCAACAAGACTTCTACAACCGAATTCAACGAGGCCGACTTCAATACCGAGTTTACACGATGCGTCCTCAGAGTTATGCCCGTAAAAAAGAGCGAAGGGGTTGGCGAGAAAATCATCCGCTTTATTGGCCTATTCCTACGTCACGCTAATGACAAGGACAACGAACTACTAGGGGAGGAAGATGTCGATGCTAGCACCATGCCCGAAACCCCGAGTACTCGGCTCACTACTCAAGTTATGGAGATCATCTTGCCCTTACTTACCTCCAAGGACAAGTTCGTCAGATATAGATCAACCCAGCTGATCTCTCACGTTATCAACTCCTTAGATGCTATCGATGACGACTTGTTCCAGAAGTTACGTCACGGCCTCCTTAAGAGGATTCGCGATAAGGAGGCTATGGTCCGCTCGCAAGCCGTACTTGGCCTCGGTAGGTTGGCTGGAAATCAGGTTGAGGGTATGGTCAACTCGGATGACAGTGATGATGACGCCGAAACTGGTCTGCTGGAGAAGCTCCTCGAAGTTCTGCAGAATGATCCTAGCGCTGAGGTGAGGCGCTCGCTTCTCGTCAACCTACCTATTCTACCAAACACTCTCCCATACCTCTTAGAAAGGGCAAGGGACCAGGATCCTGCTACTCGTCGCGCGGTCTACTCTAGATTGTTGCCCGCACTCGGTGACTTTCGGCATCTCTCCCTCTCGATGCGAGAGAAGCTGCTTCGCTGGGGGTTACGGGATAGAGATGAGAATGTTCGAAAGGCTGCCGGAAGATTATTCCGCGAACGCTGGATTGAGGATTGCGCAGGTATCAATCAACCTGAAGATGGCGAACAGCCAGCTACGACAGCTCCTCCAACCATAGATGGACTTCTTGAGTTACTTGAGCGCATAGATGTCGTCAATTCTGGCGTCGAAAATGGTGTCGCACTCGAGGCCATGAAAGGCTTCTGGGAAGGAAGACCAGATTATCGAGAGGCTATGGAATTCGACGACAGTTTCTGGGAAACGCTCAGCGCCGAGTCCATCTTTATAGTACGAAGTTTTAACGACTTTTGCCGAACAGAAGGAAATGGAAAATATGAATTCCTAGTTGAGGAGAAACTACCTGAGGTTACCAAGTTAGCCTTCTTCCTTGAACGCTATTTAAACGTTCTCATTGAAGCTATAAAGAGAGTCAACAATCAGGATAACGTAGAGGAGGACGAGGAGGAAGATACAGTCGAGCAGGAGTTCATTGTGGAGCAATTGCTACATATCATCCTCACCCTCGACTACTCGGATGAAGTTGGCCGACGCAAGATGTTCGCCTTACTACGGCAAACCCTATCCATACCGGAACTGCCCGATGAGATTACCAAGCTGACCATCGAGGTGCTCCGAGACATATGTGCACCTGATACAGCTGGTGAGAAGGAGTTCTGTAGTGTCGTACTGGAAGCTGTTGCGGATGTTCACGATACCATTGTTGACGAATCTGTCGTTGGGGATGGCGAGGAGAGTTTCCACTCGGCCAGGTCCGAAGTTAGTGGCGACAGTACTCCTACCAAGAAGAAGCATGGCGCAGACGCCAGTCTAAACGAAGAGGAAGCACGAGAGAAGGCAATCAAGGAGATCATGATCAACATGAAATGCTTGCACATCGTTCAATGCATGCTCTCAAACGTCGAAGGAACCTTGCAGCAGAACGACCACCTTGTGTCGATGCTTAACAATCTAGTTGTCCCTGCCGTTCGTAGTCACGAAGCGCCCGTTCGAGAACGTGGATTAGTCTGCTTGGGGCTCTGCTCACTCCTCGATCGACCACTTGCCGAAGAGAATCTAACTCTTTTCATGCATTTCTTCAGCAAAGGCCACTCAGCACTTCAAATTACCGCGCTACAGATCTTAACAGATATTCTGAATGTCCATGGAGCACAGCTTCTGACGGCAAACCCAACTTTATTGAAAGTGTACATTCGGGCTCTCCGATCTGGCTCTAAAAATCCAGAGGTCCAAGGCGCAGCCACCCTCGCAGTCTCGAAGCTATTACTTGGCCGTGTAGTCACAGACCATGATACTTCGGCAGAGCTTCTCAAGACACTAATAGTAGCTTATTTTGATCCTTCAACCGCAGGGAATCAGAGCGTCAGGCAAGCCCTCAATTATTTCCTACCTGTATTTTGTTATTCGAGAGCCGAGAACCAGGAGCTTATGGGAGCTGTGGCTCTCGATGCGCTGCATGCCCTATACAACGTCAGGGAGGGCCTCGATGACGATGACATTGATGTCGATGACGAAATGGCCAGCCTAAATACTATCGGCGCCTGCTTGGTTGACTGGACAGACCCTCGAAAGTGCTACACACCTGGTATTCCTATGGATGCTGACAAGAAGAATGTGAACGGAGACGTCCATCTAGACTTAGCAAGGGACATTCTTGATAAGTTAGATAGTAATCTGAGCAGTAAGTTTCCGTTACCGTGTGATGTCGCTATTCATACTAACAACAATACAGAGGAAGAGAAGAAGGTCATCGCATCTCTGCTAGGAAAGCTATATATCTCTCCAGCCTCCTCGGAGGATAAGATTCGTGCCTTGTACGAAGACATTTCGACAGCAGTCGAAGAGAACCTCGTATCGGATGCCACGAGTAAGAATGCTCTCTACAAAATCCACGTGAGCTTAGGCAAGATCGTGAACCAACTTAACGAGCAAGACAAGATGTCGAGGCGAAGCGCTAGTAGGAGCGTGTCTCTTGCTCCCGATGAGAAGACCACCATGGAAGATGCTACTGTCATCCGGGTGTCGAGAATCAAGGAGGAGGATGAAGAAGAAGAAGAAAAGGGTGATATAGAAGAGGAGGAGGCTGATGTCTCTGGCCCAGCTGGTCGGAGTGAAGCTGATTCTCTCGTAGAAGACCTTTTGACGGACGGAGAGACATGATAGTTATGACTTGGATACCTAGGTGTTATGTCTCATATTAATGTGTGAACGAATAAATACCCCGTTTTAATCGAAAAACTCGCCCGATCTATCGTATTACACGTTGTCTCAACCCTAGCATTGCCGATTGAACTCGTGGATGGCCCATAGACCGAGTTGCTAGATGGACCTAGGCACCATATTAAACTTTGTAATGTTCTCTCGATCAAAGCAGAGAAGGCCACTTGCCGGTTGACTAATTAGGGATGAATACGCATAGGAGGATATATTTCTGCCTCGGGATTGAGTTCACAGCAACGAGTTTAAAAACTTGTTTAAGAGATTAGCAAGGCGTTGGGGTTGCATGAGAGATCTAAGAATCATAACTCACCTTAACTATTGGTGTATGTCATTAGATCATTAGAAGCTGCAAGATATCGATTATCCCAACTTTCCTATAGGACGAGCATGAGAAAACTATATTCAAGGGATAACCATGCCTCTATATTTAAATAATAAATGGCTCGGAGGTGAAGATCTAAACTGAGTTAGTAGGGATAAAATCAAAATCGCGTAGCGGCAAGGGATCGGCAATATGTGGGATGGTTTGTAAATCGCTAGCCTGTTCTCAAAACCGATATATTTGAAATCGTTTCAATAGATGGTCTCACATCTAAAATAGGCGGTCTGGTAATATAAGTTATATCACCTCTTATTCAGCCTACGAACGTGCTTTAGCTAGACTGCCTCAAGAAGCTATTCGAGATTGGTCCTAGTAAGAGTAAAATTATTTCTCACGCCACGAAAGGTCTACTAGGTTGAGCAAAGTATTGTAACAACACACTAGCCGTAAGTTTTGGTACACAAAACTACGACAGCCATTGATTAGCAACCCAGCAGGTAGCGCCTGTGGTCCTGTTGTATATAATAACTATTCGTTGAGTTCATACCGCGCCAGTATATTCAACTATAGCGATGCCGCCAGATATCAGAGCCCCGAATGTCCGATGCCCACCATCCAACGGGCCTTTACGACCCCGCTACCAATCCCCAGGCCGTCCACCATTGTTGGATTTTATACATCCTCACGCACTACCAGGCCTGTCTTCGGGTATCATACCGGCCGCCCACCATTATGCGATGACTATCACTTAGATTGAGAAGGAACGTGTTTCATGAGTAGAAGTTGGCAACCTGCTCGAGCAGAGCCAAATCGACACCCCGTCGGGAAGATTTAGACGGTTCTGATGTCGTGATAGTGATGTTTCCGATATCACACCAATGGTTAACGGGCTATGGAGATGTTAGTAGGATTGCTGGATGAAAGGGGAATAAGGGATAGACTAACCAGGCAGCTAAGATACTTGCACCAACTGCAGTTGTTCTGGTTGGAGTAGAAGTTCCTGAGCAACACGATGAAGACGACGATAACAAGTATGAGAAATCCAGCGCGAACGAGCCACCACACCCACCAGAGGGGCTTCCGACCCTTGAAGAAACCTACAGGGTTTCTGTAGAACGAAGGGAAGGCGACGCTAGTGATACCGCCGCCGCCTACGGTAGAATACGAAGGCCCTCCAAAGTGATCCTCGCCGATCTTACGGCGGAGAGCATTTGGAGAATGGAGGACGCTAACCCCCAGACATAACCCGACAATAAACCCGCCGATATGAGAGAAGTTGTCCAGACCGGGGAGCAGGCCGAGGGCGAAGGATATAAGAATCTCGATGATGATAAATATTAGCTCTCTGCCGGGGTTACGCCTCTCACCCCACGAGTATAGCAGATCGAGCAAGGTCAGAGCAATAACTCCGAACAAAGACCCCGATGCCCCGGTAGATGAAATTCCCGGAGCGGCATAGTTGCCTCCCATAACAAAGCCAAAGATGCCAGCACTCATATAAACGAGGAAAAATCGGGTGGATCCGATGGCCCTTTCGATCTCCTTTCCCATGGTAAGCTGCAGCAGTAGATTAAAGCCGATATGGATTATACCCGCATGCATAAAGATGGGGGTTATGAAGCGGAACCACTGGTTAGGTGCCGGGTCCTGATTCAAACCGTTAACGGGGTCCCACTCAGGATTGGGAACTCCGTCAAACCCGCAGAGCTCCGACAGAGAGCACTTATTCGAGTCGTCGTTAGGGTCATTCGAGGTGGTATTGGGGCAAGGCCACCCAAATCCCTGTTGCGTGACGCCCGCCGGTGGGCTATAATTTTGTACACCATTGACGTTCTTCATACAGGGGACGAACCTCGAACCCATGTTGATAAGAACCTGTTGCGAAGGACCTATCATGGGGTTGAAGGAAGGCTGAATCTGAATCGGGCTACCTGTGAGCTGAGCGGCCTTGACGAGCTCGGCAATAAACACGGCGATTTGAATGATGGAGAATAGATAAACCATGATGGGTATTCTCTTCTTCTCCGACCCAAGCATGCCTAATTCACCGAACCGGATGCGACCACGCTTGGGTAGGCCTCGACGATTACCCGCCTCTTGATCTGGGGCGTCGTAGACATGGTCAGTCGAATCGGCCGCATAACCTGGTGACTTGTTGCTCTGGTTGCGCATGGGGATATCGTCGGTTCCTACGGGTGACACATCACCCGGTCCGGAGCCATGATATCTTGTGTCGTAAGCGAAGGTCTGTTGGCTGTTGTTTAAGGAATCGGAGTTCTGGTGGGATTGTGAGTTAGTCGGGTAGACATGGTCATCAAAGACGGTCTCGAAGGGAGATACGATGGAAGCACCCGGACGTTCTTGATTATGCGCATGCGAGGTGTAGGAAGGCGGGGTTGTAGATGCCAAAGATGGCTCGTATTGATTATGATGTCGTGATGAATCGTTGTAGTAGTCGTTGGCCGCCATGGTCGCTCTTCTATGAGGGTTGGTTTGCAAAATAGAAAAGATGTGGCCAGCACTAAATTTGCGCTTTTTTGTTTTTGTTTTTGTTTTTTTTTCGTTTTCCAATTCTAGACCCGTTTGAGACCCGAAAACACCAGGCTGCGCGGGTAGACGAGTTGGAATAAGATGTCTCGAGGTGAGCCGACGTAAAATCGGATGGATGGCTTGGCGGTCGCTAGTCGCTCGAACGAGTGTGGGAGGAACAACAACCAATTAGCGTAATGAACGTTGCTTAATATGGATTTCCGCCTTGGTTGATTTGATGATGATGCCTCTCTGTTAAAAGAAAGAAACGAAAAACAAGAATAAACGAAACTGGGAATGGAAAAAGGTGTTGCTTCTTTTTGGAGATTTGTTTGGCAAAGCCTTCGTATTTGTTTGAATTATTATGTAATGAGGCAGGACACACAGCCAGATCCAGCGGTTGTCGTCACGCAGCAGAATAAGCGCGATGAATTGTATTGCATATGATGTACTGATACACGATCAAGTAGGAAATGAGGTGTGCATTGCGCCGGGTTACTGAAAGATATTTGTACAGTACTTAGCCCTCTACAAAGATTGCGTGTCACCGGATGCTTAGTGTAGTAGCTACAGCCTACTAACAAGAGGCTGTGCTAAAGTTCAGCGGACTAAGGTACCCGTGGTACGTACATTCCAGGGGCTCTTCAAGGGTTCTTGACTGGGTTTGTGCTTCTTTACCATTCTAATTATGGAACCCCCAATGCCACACAGCTTACGTACGTACGCCTTCTTCATCGATGATATATGTATTCATCTGAATGGCTGAATGATACTATATGGGCTAACAGTCCTTGTCAAGCCACACATTGCATTGCCATTCTCAACTGCTAAGCCTTTACAAAACGTAGGTAGCTACGTATTCATATATAGGTACGTTTGGGCAATATTTGCGAGGCTCCAGGTTGTTAGGTAGTGTATATCCATGTTCGGTTCAAATCATTCTACGACGTCCTTATGTTCCCTAAATTAGCTTTATAGAATTCCATGCCAACTTACAGTAGAATTTAGAGAATACAAATCAAATAGCTCTGAATATGGAGGGAAACGCTATTAGCTCTGTCATTGCTTAAAGTGTCCCCAGCTATATTACATACCATGTAATGTTTCCTAGTAACTCCTATATCTGCCAAGCCTGAGACTGGCTGGCAGATTCCTCACGAGTAAGGTGCTCAATGAAAACTCATGCCGGAGCATAGTAACGTCTCCTGTTGCCACTAGTATCGGTAGCGTGTAGAATAGTCTTTTGGACTGACGACCAGACCGCGACCTTTCTTAGCGCCCTTATAGACCGTCTCGATGATATCAATTAGCTCTTGCTTGTCTTCGAGGACAAAGTTGAGCTTATTGTTATTTCCCGTGCCGTAATCGCATAGCATGTGCTTGTTTCGGTAGAAAAACATGATAGTGCAAGGGTCATACAATTCTGTACGGGATTGACTCATTAGAAGCTGCTCTTCAAAAATAGTTCAGAGAGAAGGGACAATATACTTACCATACATCTGGTTGAAGTCGGGTACTTGGTCGATGTCGCAGACATAGATGACGCAAAAGTTCTTTACTCTATCTGCGATGCGGTATAGGACCTCGTCTTGTCGCATGCATTCGGGGTCATGATCGCGGCCGAAACGAATCGCTATAGGAATAATTGACATTAGCACTTTTCTCTATCAACTATAGTATCTCTTGAACGTTTGCTTCGCTTACCGACAACGCGCTCGGTTTCCGAGAGGATGGCTTGGTCGACATGCCAGCCGGTGTTCAAATGTGGTAGAACAATGGAACCCATGATTGGACTAGGGCTAAGTCTAGAAATGTTGACGATGATGATGAACGGTTGGTGTTTTGGTTTTCAGAATTTAACCCACGCGCTTTGACTACCTAGAGCGTTGAAGTTAAATAATGACATCAAGCCGCGGCTGTGTGGGACATGCTTTTAGGATCTTCTAGTAAGCACGCTGGAAATCTTATGTGGTGGGGCAGTACATTGCAATCCGGGGGATTTACGGCTAAATCACTAGGCAGCCCGTGTTATTTACGCAGTACTCAACTATAATATTGGTAAACTTAATTCAATCACACACATACAGCTTGGAAAATAATTCATTCAGATTAGGCTTGGATGAAGCTGTTGATTTGCCAGTCACAGATGAAGGTGTTATATTGGTTGTTTTTTTCTGGGGCAAGATATCATATGTACATGGAGCGAATGGCAGATCGGAGAAAATCTCATTAACGGGTTAGTTTCCCACCTGCTAATGCGACAAGCTCGGGGAAGATTGGTGTCCCGAGGCCAGTAACAGGATCCCATCCTTCAACTGCTGGGAAACCGTCAACACCGCATCCGACAGCACTACCACTTACGATATCAGTCAACCCTTTGTATCCCTTCGAGTACAACCACGGGTTCAAGAAGCCCAGCGGCCGTTTGCCCGACGAAATGAGCGCGTCATTTACCAACGAGATAATTCCACCCGTCAGAGGACAGCTAGCGCTAGTACCGCTAATGGTTCCCTCGGTTCCGTTCCAGAAATACGCAAAGTAAAGTCCCTGCGCAGAGATATCCGGGTAACCACGGCCTTTCTTGTTATATAGACCATCGTATAAGCCCTTCAGGTTCTTAACGTAGTTGGTAGCCTGCTTCGCCTGGTACGCAGGTACGTCGAAGTAGTTGCTAAACCCACCACCGCTGGTGTAGTTACCATGCGCAACGCCATCAGGGCCAACAAACGCGGGACGATACGCTACGACTTCGGGCTCGAAGTTCTTCGTAGCACCAACTGCCGTTACATAGGGACAGCTGGGTGGGAACTCGGGAAGAAACTTGGTCGTGTTCTTGCCGTCGTTGCTCACACAGTTGCCGTATGATCCGACACCGCTGTCGCCGCTAGAAAACAATAGTGAGGTACCACGAGCGCCCACCTGAGCGAACTGCTGGCAGACACGTCGGGCGTACGACTCTGGAACCGTCTGCTCATCATCGGCATACGAGGTCGCTACATTAAGTTAGTAATCCATCCAAAGGGCTAGGTAAAGTACAAGATAACATACTATCAACATATTAGCGTCTATTAACAACAAAGGGGCATATACAAAGGCAATTTTACACATACCTAATGACTTGCGGGAAAGACTTTTGATCAAGCAGGTAGTTCACCCATACGAGGTAGGGTTCGTTCGTGTTGTCGGGAGTAGAAACCGACGGGATAAAAGGCGGGCTGCCCCCCGTCGAGTAACTGATGATTGGAGCTACAACCAACACATATTAGCGGGAGAGCTCTTTGCAGAATGGCCTCTCTAAATACGTACTCTTCCAGTTTATACCGGCAATGGCCTGGAGGTCCAGGTTCGCCTCCTTAGAAGTGCCCGACTCGATTTCCTCTGGCGTCAAAGCGTAGTCGCCAGGTCCGTTTGCGATCGTGATTTGTGGGAAATCCTTTGCGCTTGAGACCGCCTCCGGTCGGTACTTGGCGAGGAAGAGTTCCCCGTCCGACCGGATAGGATGCTCACCAAGGAAGTTGTTGAACCCGATCTTGTTCTTGCCGCAAGCGCGAGTTTTGTAGCCCTTGGTCGAGTAAAGAGTCTGGAAGCACTCAGGCGTGACGGAGCTAACATTGCAAACTGCGCTTATGTTCTCATTGGTAGGTGGTGTATATTGGGGGTCAAGGTACACCGGCGCTTCGACATGATCAAACTTCTCGGCGCGAGCACGGAAGAATGAATTGGTAGGCTGGATCGTATCGATCTTATCATGCAGATGAAGCGGAAGAGACCATTTGGGAGCCCGAGCGACTACACCCCCATCCTTATGCTCATAAACGTGGTACTCCGTGTCAAGGAGACGCTCAATAGCCTTCACCGGCAAAGACACCGTGATCCAATCCTTAGCTGAGCTATATCCTGACGGAGTGACCCCGTTGTCCGCTAGCCACTCGTGGACGAGGTTAAGAGTCTCATCAGTAGGCTTGACCAGCTCCTTCACCTCATCGGCGGAAAGATGCTGACCGTAGCGGGGGTGATCCGGGTCAGAAACTAAACAATGAAGGTCAGACTTGGGCTTTTCATTTCATCTAACTTAAAGAACATCACATCTCATACCTTCGTAAAGGTGCCTCTCGAGCTCCGGGAAATTGCTCTGCTTCACGCCAATTTGAAGGTCAATTACATGATCGGCAGGCGCGCGACGAACTCGCTTCCAATCTCTTGGAACATGGTGCGCATCCTTGACACGATACGGCGTTCGTGATCCCACGGGGTTCGCAAGGGAGACTTGGGCAGCGAGAATCGCCGAAAAAGCAAGACCAATGCCGACCATTGTGCACACTTCAACCTATCAACCTATTAAGGGACGAGGACGAGTAGAGCAGGCGAGAATAGGGCCGGAACAGCTAAGACCGGATCCTGAGGAGAACAAAGCTCCCAGAGTAGCGCTCGTAACACTTTATATTGTTTACAATGACAGCACGCTATCTCGTACGCACATAATGCAAGCTGATAGAGAGCAAGGATAGATAGCCCACTGAACCACGGCCCTGGTCTAACCCGCATTCAAATATCCAATTGGAGCCCCCGCTTACCACAAACCGGAAATTACATTGATTGCGTTGTGATATATTACGTAGGTGAGGTAGTATAGCTGACGCCGTCGGTCATTTCCTACTATGCTCCTACTAAGCAGTATTCACCTATTTTTCAGAGTCACGCCATATCTCACCTTAACGCATCCGGAAGGTCGGCTACTTATCTGTACCCAGGTCCGTGGGTCTAGATCGTGTCCCTGATTTATTGAGATCCTGCCTTAGCTACCAATACGAGGTATTGACGAGAGTAAACAATAGGTAAACCAATTACGCGTGAAGACCATAGATAGACTATTCTTTTAAAGAGGGAAAATTACCAACCGAATTACCTACTTACCTAGATATCTATTCACGCAAGGGCTTCTAAGCCTTCTCTTATTGGCTAATGCCCACATCATGAGAAGGTTAAAAGCCCTTACATGATTGCTTATCTGATAGCTGACGAACGCCCTAGATTATCAGACCGTAGATATCTTTTATTCTAGTGTTTGTCATGTTAGAGTATTAACTAGATGATTTAGCGTACTTGTAGAATATGATACCCGGGCATTAGATAATTCTTAATAAGGTGCAATGTGCCATACCTACCTAAGGTACCTAGTTAAAGAGACAGCAGCAAGGCCCACTAAACTCTATAGTTAGAAGAATTAACTAGTTATAGGAAGTTCTTGGTATCAACCCATATTTCAAAGGAACATATCATTTTAAAGTAGGAAGGCCGAAACACACGACGCCTTCATACAAATCATCCCCAGAGTTTCGCCACCAACGTGCTAATATAAAAGGCAGATACCAAAGCCAACAGTCGTGGAATATCATGAAGTAGTAACGGGGAGGGGTAAATATGCCCGCATTTTAGTAAACAACAGTACATGCTTAATATCAAAACCTCATACATCACGATGCAGCAGTCAGTTTGACCGTGAGCATTCCTCGTGAAGGAACAGAAACCGTAACTGCACCGTCGGCGAGTTTTGACTCGACCGAAGCCACAGATCGGGTGTTATCCGTCACGAAAACTTCAGCAGCTGCTGGGGTAAAGTCTTTGAACGAAACCTTGACACTCTGCTGCGAGCCGCCGGAGTTAAGGAAAACCACAACTACTGAGCCATCCGTGTTCTTAAATGCTGTGATACCAGTGCTGGAAACACTACCAGACGTGCTAACGCGGTATGCACCGGGGCGTACGAACCGCGACCACATCGCGAAGGCCCAGAGACGACCGGAGGGTGTCAGTGTTTTCCCGTCGCTCGCAACAAGGTAGGAAGACGCTTGGAACTGGTTCACTTCCACACCTTGCCAGTAGATGTAAGCAGACAGGTTAGCGCTTGCAAGACCATTATGAATCTTTTGCGCCCAAGTAAAGCCTTCGCATTGGCCACCGCCGCTATACCACGTCGCACACCAGCGCGATTGGAGGTCGGCTGCCTCGGTTTGCCATGTCTTTAGCTTGGTAGAAATAACCGAGTTCGGGTCACCCGTGTACATGTGACTGGTAATATATCCAAGATATTTCTCCATGCCTGCTGAGACGAGACCTTGCGTGATAGTTCGCTGAGAGTTCCAGCCCACTACAATGTACTGTTAGTAACTATCTGCCGAGGCCAAGAACGAAAGGTATTTCTTGAAATATTCAGAAACTAGGTAGCCTAGTTAGAGCAGTCACTTACTCGCGTCGCAACAAGTTATAGACACGTTGCTAAGGTCATTAGCCCCAAGTGTATCGTATAATATGGGGATAAATGATGCAGCTTCGTTAGCACCGGATTGCATTGACGAGTAACTCGTTCTATAGAAGTCAATAAGGCACAACATCGAATTTCACTCGGCCGACACTTACACATAGTCAGGCTCGTTCAAAAAGCCAAGCTGCGTAATGGGAATGCCGCGCTCGCTGTAGTACTTCACGTACTGGACCAAGAAGTCGGCATAGGGTTGACGCCAGTCTCCAGACGAGCATGAGTGGCCTGGCGTACCGCAAAGGTAGCCGCCGTTGTTTTCATTGTTGTTGGTCTAGGATGAAATTTAGCTTAATGAGTCCTCAAGAGTTTGGTTGAACGAAAAGTACCTTCATGAAACCCGGTGCACTCCATGCATCCGCATAGATAGTTTTGACTCCATATTTCATGGCTTGCTGGCTGAACCAGAGTTGGCCTCGGTCATCATCGTCGAAGCTGTAGTTTGCAGCCGCGCTTGGGCCGCCCGGGCTCTTCGGGAGAATACTGTCACTATTGGACGTACCTGAGCCAATACGGTTACGGATGATTGTAAGACCAGCACCAGTAGTTGTGTTGAATAAGTAATCGAGACCCTGCTTCTGAGGATCTCCAGATAACATGTCCCTAAACTCAGCTGCGCGGCCGAATGCCTGGGAGACACCAAAGCCATCTATTTGTTGCAACGTAGATGCAGTATTGACAGTCAAAGCCGACTGGGCATAGGTTTGCCCTATGCTAGCAGCGAGCGCCGCCAGGGTGACAAAAGAAGCCATTATACTTAGAAGTCTTTATATAAAGACTTTAAGTCCTACAGGAAACGGTCTTGCTTGAACACAATAAAAAATGCGCTCGACAGGGACTCATGATCAGGAGATCATCGTAAACTTTATATAGCCGAGATAATTTTGTATAGTTACATTAGGTTCCATTATGAACACACTTTTGCAGAGATCAAACAATACCCATAGGATATTCAGCAAGCTGCCGAAGTAACTTAATCAACAAGCACGTCGTTCATTCGATCGCATCAGCGGGGGCGGAGCAGTGCCACGAGGACCGCTAATCTGCCCGTTGGAAATGCGTGGTATGAGTAGGTCAATATCGGAAAGGTACCATGCCAAGGTTGCCATTAATAGCTTATAACAGCCTTGGCACATTCTAGCCCTCTCGCTAGCTAGAAAGAAACTACGGAGATGCGTCCGTGGAGGTGGTGAAGGTACTGAATGGTTACGGTAGGATTTAACCGGGAAATGTTCTTCGCGGTAATAACTATCACAACTAAGGTTCGGGGAATAGTCATGTTGATTACATGCCTGTATAATATTCTATTGTATATCATTGGTGGAATTTTACTTGACAGCTCTATCAACTAGAATACATTCAACTATAACTATTAGTTAATATCTTTCGCCTTGCACCCCCCATATGTATTGACAATTTCCCCAAGTTGACCAAATGTAACCTTCCCTAGATATGAGCCTCACGCTCTAGTTCCATACTTATATTTATTGTCTTCTAGTCGAATAGGACTTGGGTTAAATGTACCTCATGAGTATGGCTACGTGGGCTAGTAACACTCACGAATTCTCAATTTAAGAGAGTAAATATTTTTAGGTTATAAAAGTTGAATAATACTATTTTGGCTCTGTTCTTATGTGTTAGCTACACTAAGAAGTGCGCATCCTTTTTTGAAGTGTCAGAGTCAGTATCAGTTCCCCTATTAGTAGTTTATTACCAGAAGGGTTCGATTGTAACCGAAAATAAGCAGCATAAATTCTAGCAACCCCTATTTGGGAAATTCTGAACTTTACTGACACTCAAATCTTCGGAGAGGTAGCTATGAAATAGGTATAATTATTATCGTCAATTAACTGGACAATCCGCCAGTCCCCAATCCCCGATCCCTTGACAGTCCCAACTATATACATATATAAGAAGGCATTCACCCTACAAGCCCCACTAGATGGTTAATGATATATAGTGTCTCCACCAGGTATAGCTAAGCTACAATCGAACCCATCCTCGGCTTCCATCATTTAAGACTCGCCGTTGTTAGCCAGAAGGTTGGCAGTGTCGCTGGGAACACCAGAGATAGCGTCAGAGAGAGCGCTCTTGGCGATGTAGTCGCAGAGAGAGTCGACGGGAGAAGCGCCGAGTCCCAAGTAGTAGGCACCAAGGCCAGCAATGTGGGGGGAAGCCATCGAGGTTCCAGAGATGACGTTCTAGGATATCGTTAGTACGAGCGGAAACAGCAAAGTTGTGCTTAGGAGTCAGCTTACCGTGGCTCCACCGATCCAAGTGGACTCGATGTCAGTGCCGGGGGCAAGGATGTCAACAAGGCTGCCGAAGTTGGAGTACTCGGCAAGCTCGTCGTCTTTAGTAGTGGCACCGACGGTGCAGGCGGTTTCCTCCGATGCGGGGGAAGAAGAAGAAGCGTCAGTAGCCTCGTTACCAGCGGCAACGGCAAGGAACAGGCCGGCATCGACGATGCTAGCGGCCGCCTCGTTCACGGCGCTGGAGGAGGAACCTCCGAGGGACATGTTGACGACGACACCCTTGGGGCAGCTCTGGCCAGCGGCGTCCTTGGCAACGAAGTCCATACCGGCGATGACACCGGAGCTGTGATTTCTAGTCAGCTAACTGCAGTCTTATACTCAGGTAGTTTAAGGGGTACCACATACTTGGTGCCTGAACCACTGGCGTCAAGGACCTTGACGGCGAAGAGAGATGTCTTCTTAGCAACTCCATATGTTTTTGAGCCGATTGTACCGGCAACGTGAGTACCGTGACCGTTGCCGTCGGTGTTATCGTCGTCAGCGAAGTTGTTGAGGAACTGGGCGCGGCCCTCGAATTCCTATATAGAGTTAGGCTATACTTGGTAGTGAGGAGATAATCACACATCACATACCTCGTGGTCGACTTCGATACCAGTGTCGATGACATAGGCGCAGGTACCCTCACCAGCACTGTCGTCGTAGGTGTAGGTGGTGCTACCAGGCTCGGAGCTTGAGAGACGTGCTAGACCCCAGTCGGCGTTCTCCTGGGTAGCCTTGATAGTGACAATAGCATCCTGCTCAATGTAGTCAACCTGGCAGAAAGTGTTAGAGCCTTCATAAATCCTAAAGTCTTATTTGTGTTGTCTATATACTTACATCAGCATTGTTCTTGAGAGCCTCGAGCTCTTCCTCCGACAAGCTGGAAGCGAAGCCCTTGAACTTGTTGGTGTTGTAGACGAAGTCGGCGTCGCTGGCGACGGACTGGATAGAGCTCTGGATAGACTCGGCCTTCGCGTCAGCCTTCATCTTGACAATGTACTTGCCATCGACGAGCTGGGCGCCTCGGGGCTTGATGACCGGCGCGGGTGTAGCTCGCTTCGAAGGAACAGCAAGTGCCAGAGGCAGCAAGGCTAGAGCGGCGGCGGTGCGCATTTTGAAGGATAGATGGGAGTGATGAGTCTGGAGTTGATCTTGCGGTGTTATTGGAAGCGAGTGATGCTTGATGGTCAAGCTCTGAGTGTGGGATGGTGAGAGTAAAGATAGCTCATTAACGGGAGAAGCATCTTCCTTTTTATAATACTCATCGCAACCCTTTGGCAAGAGGCGTGATGTTGTTGGATATTGAATGCAATACTATGATAGCCTTCATGATAGCAGATCTTTACTAAGGACAGCATTTCGTAGTCGGACAAACTTGCCAGTGACCACTTACATGTGAACGCCTCATGTGAGGTAGAAAGAGAATCATGGATACCTAAGGTAAGGATTCAAAGTAGGCGACAGTATATTCCCTGCCCTGGCCGGCCAATCCGGCATGCATAACGAGTGCCGATCACAGCAGCACCTCCTAGAAAGGGCTTGGTTGGGATGAAGTCCCCTTATTCGTCGGAGAGTTTTCGTCCCTTCAATAAGAATATAGACGAGCTATGATCCAGTAGTGTTACTCCAAGCTCCGAATGTCGTTGAGTTACAGTGTTTTAAACCCAGGCATTCGGGTTTTCTTGGTGATGTGCCGTGAAATTAGCTATAGACTACTTGTAATACTAGAGTAGCCAATGACGATGAGATAGTACAGAAGGCCAAGCTTCTTGCCAAACAGCTAGCTACGTCGCGACATACACTACGGTACCCAGACTGTTGCCAAGAAGCGCTGAGCCGCGAGTAAAGCACCATGGATCGAGCTTAACCTAGGTGCAGTGGTAGCTTGCTCAGGAGACGTTGTAACGGCCTTCCCTATCAGGAAACCTTTCCCTCCAAGTTGGCTTTTAGACCTGCGGGGGCTGTAAGCATCGCTGTCCAACCAAGCTTTGACGATAGGGGTAAGTGACTGATCGATTATCTCCGAGATGCAGGACAGCTACCTATATTACATGGCATTAATGGTTTTAGCTATATTTTAAGATGGTATACTTGTTTCATTCGAAATAGCTTTAAAATATCAAACGTGACAAACGAAGCCATATAGTCCCATTTTCAAGACCAATTTATATTCGTCCCCTCACTCCGGTGAAGAAATCATCCATTAAAGCTAATACATAGTTTTACCACAAACAATACTATGAGCTGGCATAATGCCAGTATGATATACGATATGCGATATGTAATATGTAATATGTAATATGCTTAACAACTCTATATTCACCACACCCACAACAGTAGCTACTGTTGTGGGTTGGTTCAACTTGGAGTATATAGCCATGCCGTCAGACGGAAATATGCCCCAGATTGCGACACCGGTTTCCCCACATGATGTGAGCAGAAAGCGGAATGTGACTGTTCCATCACTTTCCCCGAGAAAATCCCAGGTGCATATGCCGCAAGCTATGTATTCGTGTCGGTGCTTCTTGCGGCGTATTGTCAGGTGTCTGTAACCATGCAGCCCCGAGGAGGCCCTCGTATTGTAATCGGGTTCAAATTTCAAAGACTTTTTCAAAGACCTTCCTCACGCGAGAAGTTCGGTTTTATCGTAGTCTCGTAGTCCCCCACATCCTCAGCTTCTTAACCCCCCACTACCCCTGCCCCTAACCGCCATACAAAGATCACGACAGGCACGCTTAGCATAACCCCTGGCCATGATCTGCGAACAACCCCCTGTATTTCAGATGCCAGGTGCCGGCAGGGGTCAGCACACCCACTATATAAGGTCTTGGCATTTCCGCTGCGCAACCTGTTACCCACGACTCCCACGACTCCCAAGACCAGCTCTTCTACATATGTTGCTATTTAATATATAATCTATATATGTTATGTATAGATGGATGGGCTGCGTGATTGTCGATCAACTTCCAGCCTAGGCAGCCAGCCTAAGGTAACCGAGACTCAGTGCTGGGCCTCAAGTTGAACTGACCAGACTGGCTTAACATTACTTTTCCTTGCCCCGGCCGACTTGCAAATCCCAACTGTATGCGGAAAGTAGGCAGGGTTCCAAAAAGTTCACTTACTCACTACGGCAGGCCAAATCTCTAAACGCACGGCATTATTCCGGAGCCTGTCTATTGCGACTCATATCTTTATGATTTCTCCGGTTAACTAGCGAAAGAGAACATGTTTTAAATCCGACGCAGTACCTAAGGCTCCTAACGAACTCATTTACCGAACATCGAACGCCTCACGAGTACATATTAAAAAGAACTTACAAATGTCACTGCTGAATTATAAATCAGCGGCGGGACCGAATGACCTGCCATCTCTCTAATTTAGTAGAAAATAAGAACGGAAACCCCTTTACCGAGTCTGACGGCATTCCCTACGGCATACCCAATACGGCCCGCGACCGGCCGGGTTTTGTAACCCGAGAGGGCAGGACACAATATCAATATCGAAACCCGATCCACAGTCACCATCGCACGAGGAATTAAGCAATACTGCATATTCAGAGGGGAAAGGATTCATACACCTAGGTATGGATTCCCTTCCGCTGCCGTGAAACGTCACAACAGCTTCGAGTTTGGATCCGAACCGCCTCCCGCGCCCCCATGTTTATCATGCACTAGCATTTTCGCGACAACTATGTCAAGTCACATTACAGACAACCCCTGCGGTTATTGTAAAACCTATCTTATGTTACACCATCTGTACAATATATAATTGAAACTCCCCCACCGGTCTATTCCCGCACCTAATTGATGTTGTGAGATTAAGTTGAAGGCCCAGCTATACACCCTATATAACTCACTCTCCCTCGTGAAGATACCGCTTGAATGAGCCGGAGTAATGAGGTCCTTATTAAAGACGATATATTTCAACTGAAATCAAATCGAGTCCCTCACAATGCACTTAGCAACATCTCATAGGTATAGATATTTCTACAGCATACGCCACAAGTTGTTTTGCATCGACAAACTATCGAGTACGTGCGAGCGCGAGAAAAAAATCGAAAGAGGGTCAAACGGAGTCGCCCGGCAAACATTATCATGCTCAAATCTGCTCTAATCTATATCTTCTCGCGTTTGTCTGCAACTAATTCATCTGGTGGGCAGTTTACTCGGCACTACCCTGTAAGGTCCACGCGCATACCGAAGAAACCTACGTTCGGATTCCTAGCATATCGTGATATTGAAGTTCCCTCTGCTTAATCCCCGGTCGCAGCCGTTACCGGAGCTCATGGCAGACGTGTGTAATTTTCAACCCCTTGTTTTAGGACTTAGTTCCGTGATGGATACCAGTGATTTAGAATTGCCTAGTGTTCATTTACCCGATAGAATTCATTTCTATCCTCATTTCATTTCTATCTTCATGAATCGGTTGAGTCGTCACACTAAAGGACATATATATAGGAACAAAAAACCTACACGATATATTGAAATGTTGAATTCTTTGGTAGTCTCCGTTAATACCATGAGCATATCTCAATAGTCTAAAGATATTATCTATACAAGAACAAATAGTACCGTGATATCAGCAAGCCATGATAGTCTATCAGCATGGGAAAAGTTTCGCTTTAGCTACTTAGGCCACTCTATATATGCACTCCTATTCAAACCCCCTTTTTTTTCAAGAAGGGGGGGCATCTAAAAATAGCATCACTTTGAAAAGGAGCAACTTTATTATCATCACAGCATGCCCGTTTATCAGCGTATGAACCAGTCAATATCGCATTGAAACTATCAAAGAAATCCTAACCAAGTTCTGAAAATTAAATACATCTGCACGCCACATATATACTCAATAACGAGAGAACCATTCCGATAGCCACCTAAACACCATCTAAGCATCCAGTGCTTACAATCCTCCCACAAAGGATGTACCTCCAGCGTCCATGTCCACTTCCATACTATGCTGTAACCCACAGACCTCGAAAAGCTTTACAGGCGTGATGTGCTTCGGCGTGCCGACCACGCCCTCGCCCTTTAGACGGAGAAGGGTCTCGCGGATGGCCACGTACGCAGGTGCCAGCGTCGCAAAGCTGAAGATCATAATGCGGAAGCCCATCTTGTGAGCTTCTTCGATGGTGATAACAGGGCTCTTTCCGTTCTCGACTGAGTTTAGCAGAAGTGGCCATGGTGCTAGCTCTCTAACAGCCTGGGCCGCTTGCTCCTTGGATGTGAAACCCTCGAGCAGACCAACGTCTGCGCCTTCGTCTCGAGCTGCGCGTAGTCGCGAGATACACGCGTCATACCCGAGTGATTGAAGGGCATCAGTTCGCGCAATGAGTACGAAGTCAGATTGCAACCGCACGCGTGCGGCATGGGCAGCTCTGATGCGTGAGATGTATTCCTCTTGCGGCACGACCTTCTTGCCACTCAGATGGCCGCAACGTTTGGTGAGGACCTAGTTCGCGAATAGGGGTTAGCATTTCGCAATAATAGGATACATGAGGCTTGTATAATTATATACAAGTCAAGAAGCAGTGTTGGAGGCAAGAGACCGATAGGCCTCGAGCCTAGGCTTGGGGAGATACGAGTGGGTTGTTAGAGAACTTACTTGATCTTCGAGATGTGCACCAGCTACTCCGGCACGGATATACTGCTCCACGGTACGAGCAACCATGATAGGTCCTAGTGTCCAAGTTAGATTCCATGTCATAAGGAGATTATAGGGGTTGAGGGTGGAGATTCTCAAAGACCTACCGCCATATCCAGTGTCCATGTCAGCGATCAAGGGCGGACCAAATGGATCAAGGTTAGCAATCATCTCGGCGTTTTCTCTCATTTCATGTAGCTGAGCAATGGCCAAGTCTGGCTGTCCGATGCGTGACGCCGTAGTACCTGCACCAGTCTTCAGATGGACTGTTAGCCTTGCATAGATTAACGACGTTATATTAAGTCCATATCACGTACCATGTACATGGCGTTGAAGCCTAGTTCCATAGCAGTACGAGCAGAGAGGCCATCGTATACCCCAGGGCAGACGATAAGCTCCTCGGTCTCGAATATCATCTTGCGGAGCTTCTTGGCGCCAGATGTCGGTTCACGGACACTAGTGACAATGTCACTAAGCCGTAGCGGTCCGTCGACCTTGTCTACAGTATCATCTTCAGAGGGTGCCACAACAGTAACCTCTTCAACATTGGGAACTGTGATGGTATCATCCTCGAAAATTTCGACAGTGTGGACTAAGGGAAGTGGCTTGATGGAGTCGTAGAATTGGCTAGAACTGATCTCCGTTGCCGTTTGAAGGGTTATAGTCGATTCGTTTTCGAGCCCAGACGTATAGTCTGTAGATGTGATTGCGGAGAGAGACATGGTTTAGGTGGGTATATATGAGCTTCAACAATAAAATAGTAGCACCGACCTGCAAGGTGTCGATCTGTTGTATAGCTTAAGAGGCGATGAATATGAAACCAGGATGAGTTGGCCAACCGATCCCAGGCATGATATTTATACTTTTATCGCATCCTCCCCTCCCCTCTACCAGCCCAAGAATCTCACATTTTCAGAATATCAAATTATCATATTCATCCGCCTCCATACTAAGTTTCCTCCCTCGATACACCGAGGCCTAAAGCTCCTTTGTCGCAGTAAGCACTGGCCGAGATACACCGCTTTACTTGGCGCATATGTGACTTTCATCCCCTTCCCCTGTCCAAAGATCGCCGATACCATGTCGTTAGTTTCCTCGGAGTTAATTTGCGGAGTTTCAAGTTGTGCTCAGCTCCTCAACTGCACTTCACGTTACCTGATCGTACCTCCCGGGTGTTATTTTGGGTTGCCGGTGACAGGGTCTCGAGGCATCCTTGGAACCACACTTGAAAGCATATAGATATTTCGTTTGCTCTCAAATCGACCTAGTGGCCATAAATGTAGAGGTTCTTTAATATCAGTGTAATATATTATGATAATTCGTAGACTTTATGGATCATGATCACGTCAACGCTCACGGATCCAGACCCAGTGATAGCTATTCTAACGATATGAATGGAAATCTAGGCATTCCACACCTGTCAAAACAGGCCAATCAATACTGCAGGACTACCATTATGTGGCTGTAGTTCTCCAGGAAGGTCACCCGCTGTCGGTAGACCATCACCGGGATTTTTTGGGATAATACCTACGTCACTAGGGTTGGTTGAACGAAACCCTGTACTATCTCGAGTACCTAAGACCCCCGAGGCCTCCCGCTCCGGTAGGAGCATACTAAACCTGTATACCACGGCGCCGTGGCACTCTCAATGATGGCAGTCCCCTTGTTGCCGCTATACAGGCCACCAACTTACACCCTCTTTGTGACAGCTGGAATATTCAGAAAGTGTCACGTCCGGACCTAGACGAGAAAACTATTATCGTCTCTAAAACAAGTTCCCTAAACAGGGTTTGTTCAGCTCTAATAATGCTAGATGAAGCATTTTATAATAGGCAATTCAATCTGGTTACACCTACCAATATTTATTCGATATCAATGATAGGATATAAGAAAGGGTCGCACCCTTTTACAACATTGTTGAAACGCTACTAACATTGGCCAGGCCTTATAATATTTCAGCCTGGCTTGATAGATAATCGCCACCGGCTTTATTTACCTTGTAGTAAGAATTGATGATTTTCCAGCCGTTGTCTTACGCTTACATCAACAGAAGCGTAGCGAGTATCATAGGTGTGGCTCAACTTCTACGTCAACGCTGGCCAGTAAGACAGCGACGCCGGCTTGATGGCCTAAGTGTGGCGCTGTACCCCTTCAATGGATTCGTTAATATACGCACCTCTAAGTTTCAGGCCAGCTGTTTTCTTTTTTCCTCCTTTTTTTCTTGTAGAAGAGCCCCTCTGGAAAAGCAATAGTAGCTGAGTTTATAGTCGCTCAGATCTGACCCGAGTTGGAATTAAGTAGTCTTAGTCATTTCCATGTGGAATACTTTCTTAATTCTAGGCATTTATACAAGTTTGGTACTCAGGCGAAACGGGTTCGCAGCGGGCCGAGCCGGGAAAGGGTAACGTCAGCCGCCAAGTTGTACTGGATAACGACTTATCCAACACCCTGTATGCATACGACCCATACTCCTATCTTCCTACGATGATCCACCCCGACGTCAACATTTCCGCCGTCCGCTGACTAGTTTATTGCTGCTTCCCCGGTGATTAGTTCTTGGAACCCAAGACTCGCCAAGCTCTGCACATTGTTCAGCGAGTGGCATCCGTTGCCAATCAAGGGATGGACTCCAGTTATGTCTTCAGGTAGGACAGACCAATAGTAATTAACTATGACTTCTGCTTGAGCTTCTTCTTCTTCTTCGTTGACCTATGTAAAGGCTTGGGATCTTACATCCACCTCGATCGGTATTATCCGCGCTAGATCTCTAGCTGCCGCCCCTATTCTTATTGCCGTGTCTAAAGGAAGCTTAGTGAAAATACCCAGAAAACCTACTATCCATCCCGAAAACTTGCTCGGGCCAAGTGACTATTTTAGTGATTATTGCACTTCTGGGGTCACGTCTTAATGCGACCACCGTGGCTATGCTAGTCATGATAGCTAGGCATATAGGACATAAGTTGTCATGATACTTTAATGGAAACTCGTTTCGCGCGTATGTTGCTGCCTGCATTATTACCTTTAGACGCGAGGAATATTACCAGCCGACTTGGCCTCCTTGGCAAGCTGGATGTTTCTGTATACTGCTAGATCGGGAGTCTTAGGGTTGGCATAGCGGGATTTCATGACAAGCCAGCATGAGCTGATCAGCGTTGGCACATGGACGTAATATGCTTTGAAATCGTATAGAGACATTCGTACCTATCTACATCTCGATCAACCTCACGATGCTTCCGTGCGAGCTTCGAATAGCTCGTTGCTGAAGTAGTCCTAGTATCTAGCACCTTGGCGCCAAGTTCAACCTGCCCAGGTTCAAAGTCCGAGCGGAGGAAGCTTTAGTAAACTCGATGTATCACATTTACCATCGGTCCGTCTATGCAGCATCTTGGATAGACCTTAAGCGATGAGATGAGGCCTCATCGAGGGGTTAGAGGTTGGCGATTAAACTTTGAACGTCTAATATAGCAGTGGAAAAGGAGCTTATGGGACAGCTCGTTACTCTGTAATTCAAATCACCCTTTTTGCCCTAGTTAATAGTAATAACGAGACGGTTATATCGCGCAGAGGTTCCTTTCTACCTAGTTCTGTCAATCAACAGCGAAGTCGATATAAGATGTCTATAGGATTTGAAATTGAGATTCCTATTGGACAGGCGCTAATAGCCGTATAGAAATGAATTTAACAGGATCGAGCTACGGCTGCCAAGCGCAGGCCACAGAAAGAGGCCCCGGGAGGGAGCCCCATGGTCGGATCGCAGACTTAGAGTTCTCGGCGCTGGTCTGACGCATTGCATTGGCTACACCGGCGTGCCTAGATTACCACGTCAGGTGGCGTCGAGGGAATACGACGATGGCGGAATTCTGTCCAGCTGAGACCGGACACCCTCCGGACCATCCTTACAATACAATTTGCATACAGTTATCTTTCAAGAGGGAAGTGGATACTTTCCAGTTAACAGCCAAGTTCATCGGCCCATCTGGAGCAGCACAAATCTAGGAATTTTCCGTCTCCCCGTTTACCGTCGTATCAATATCGATTGGAATAATTCCTCCGTGTCTTACATGATACCAGGAGGTTATCGGAGGACTGCATAGGGGTTGAGGGATTTTGAGTAACTGAAGCTATTCTATGTATATGCGCGTTGGTGGATAGCCAAGCAGTACTAAAGAAGGAAACGCCCTGTTGACGCAAGGACTAGCGGGGAGATAACTCGTTCCAGATCTACTAATCTACCCGGCCCAGACTATCTCGAACTTGGCCTAGGCGCTCATATTAATCTCCCCCGGATCCTTATATCGCCAACTACCAGGCACAGTTCCCATATGCGATCACCAGATCTCTATACTCACTGCACTGCCACACCAATATCACCATGTCCGACGAAGAGAAACTCGAGTCTCCCCCAACCCTTAGCCCTGAGCCACTGGCACGACGAAATTTCGTCCAGGGTTTCTCGCAGCAGCTCTCTGAGGATATCAATGCAAGCGTAGGGTCCATACCTCTACTAGCATGTTGCTTCTCAACGGGCCTCACTGACGGTACTCTGTATAATGGTGAGTCACAGCGGACCTATCTCAAGTTATACTAGCACGTTGAGATCTTAAAGCTAACATCGTATGGTCTCTAGCTTATGGTACTTTCGTATCAATGCAAACTGGTATGTCTATGATATTCTAACCCTCGTCGGTATATTTTATTCTAAAACGTTCGTTAGGGAATACTGTCTTCGTCGCACTCGGCACCTCCGGACAAAACAACAAGCCTTTTGGATGGGCTCGTTCTCTTTTCTCCATAGGCTGTTTCACTTTAGGATGCCTATTCTTTTCCCGGTACCATAAACTTATCGGTGGCGGGCGTCGTCGAATGACTCTCTTCTTCTCCTTCCTGCTACAGACAGTCTTCGTCGTTGTAGCTGCAACTATCATCCAGACCGGCATAGTCGACGGTACATATCCCTCACGAAGAGATCCAACGGATGTGGACTTCCTTGAGCTTGCCCCCATTGCATTGCTTAGTTTCCAGGCCGCAGGTCAGATTGTGAACAGCCGTGGTTTGGGGGTCAGCGAAGTTCCTACAGTGGTGATCACAAGTCTGTTATGCGATTTGGTGAGCGATGAGAATATTTTACAGCCGCTTACGAAGAACGTGAAGCGCAACAGAAGGGCTATAGCTTTTGTACTCACGCTACTAGGCGCGATATGCGGAGGTTGGATCTCTAAAGCTACAGGTGCCGTACAGCCAAGTCTCTGGTTTGTCGCAGCCATCAAGGCTGCAATTACGATCTCCTGGTTATTTCTAGTGGGGGATAACAAGGATTGAATGAGCCCTATACCATCATAGGTAGATCATAGATTAGATTTGATATGTCGGCTTTTACGACTAGCTGACAATATAGATTGCGGTAGACATTAGTTTTAAGACATACGAAATAGACTAACTAGATAGGTTTATAGAGGAAGAATATAAACTCTCGTTAACCCTGATACCTAACTGGTATAAAAGTCGAATTCGGGATAAGGCAAGCCTCAATAAGAGACTTGGGTATTTTAAGTTTTAAAAAAGAGACAGCAATGCTTTGCGCAAGATCTTTATCTAATCTACACGTGGTGTGTGATGCATTGACGCTAATACAGTTAGTATATAAGATAAAATAAGCGCGATTTCAATCACAGTTCAAAGGACGCTAGAGGCACTTTGGCGGAGTGGTTAACGCGATGCCCTGCTATTGACTGATAGACTAGGCATTCCCTTCGGGGGCGTGTGTTCGAATCACACAGGTGTCGATCTTTTTTTAAATCAGTCATAGTTGGATAAAGCCTTCCTGTGACGGTAAATTTAATTTATATATTTTTTAACCCATCATGAATGATACTAAATAAAATCAATTACTATAGGACTAGAGATTTTTGCGATCGGTCACGGTGCATTTGCCAACGTACTGCCCATCTTCGAATATGAGTACTTCCCCGGCGCCGAAGGCACGAAGCTCTCAACTGCCAAACCCGCCTTCCTCTGGAACACGCAAACAATATCAGACCCTCCAAATAAAAAGGTCGAAATCTCGTCCCCCTTCTTTAATTGTTGGTTTTTGCGAACTAACAACTTGACCGATGAAACAACAGCCATCCCAATAGGTAGCACTGCAACCTTTCCTAAGACGGCGTTGTTAATAATAATCAAGCCTCGGGTCTGCATAAATTCTGCAATTGTGGAGTTAGTATCTATTCTATAGCATAGGAACTGACGAGACTTTGGGCTGAATATAGGGGCCAGGGGCCAGGGGCCGGGGGGGGATAACTGACGGAAGCCGGGAGTGAGTGGAGCTTGAAGCTTGTTTCCATCCACGTCCACTTCAACATAACTGCTACCCTGGATGATCTTGGCTTCTATCACCTCTCCTGATACTGGTGCATGCTGACGGTGATAGTTATATGTGTTCAGAAACCCATGCATCCATACACCCCCATTAAATTCGTCTGCATACTCGCTACCTTGTAGCAGCGAACCGATAGTCCACGGGAGGTTTTTGATAAGTACGGTCCCCGTAGACGAAATAGAAACTACATGGTCGGCTACCGACGAGTCGTACTTACAGTCGGCAGGGTAGACAATGACTTTATCGTCGAGGGGGCTTTCGATGGGCCTCGCATCTGCCTTGAGTTGTCGAGAGAAGAACTCGTTGAACGTTTTCCAGCCGCCAGGAGGAGGTAGTGCCTCGTCAACATTGTAATGCTTCGACTGCTTGAAGGATTCTAAAGATTCTTCAGTAAGAGACTCGGTGGTGTCCATCCAGAGGCCCACGAGTTGGGAATAAACAACGAGCCAAGACGAGAGCCAGGTAAGCGGCCGCCCACTCGCATCGGGAGTGATCGGGGTTTGGAGCTCCTTGAGGGGGGACTGGTTGAAAACAAAATAAAACATGCAAAGAGTGTTATAGACATATTGTCCTTCACTGCCCTCGTGAGGAATCCATTTAAGTAGGTCGTTAGCAAATTTGAGAAAGGAATCAACGCCTATTATATTAAAGGTATCCATAAACCTGGGAGCCTTCTGGTAAGCGGACTCGATGGCTTGGTCAAGTGCGTGTAGGTTGTTGGTCTTCTCGAGGTGGCCAATGAACAGAATGATTATGGGGTTGAATTGATCAGACAGGTCACCTACGGACAGGATGGGTGGTCCAGAATTAAAGCCACCATTAGGCGTTGAGAGGTTAGCTAACATACTGACTAAGGTATAAAATGAAGAGATGAAGATTGCAATACCTAGATGAGGATGAATAGGAGGTTTATTAACTTGTATACGGCCTTACGATAGCTCGGTAAACTCGAAGGGTTTATATGCAAGGTCCATAAATGCCGATCCCATATCAACAATCGAGGAGACGCACAAGGAGTTACTTGAGGAGCATTAGATTTTGCCGCCTTACTGCTTTACCGAGACAATATTGTAGGACTAATTATACTTCTACATCGGGAACACACATATGGTGCTCTAACTCATGAGACATGTGGTAGTACAGCAAATCTACCTAGAAGTCGTACACTTCAAAGTAGAGCAAGCTACTTTTTGTACGAGATTCGCATACCATTATGTCTCACAAATCGTACTGAATAGGTTTATTATGTTGAATAAGACCTTGTACGGGGGAGCGAACGGGATCTTTCTGCTTTGTCGTAAAAGATCAATTGCGATAAATAGACATTGGTTGGGCAAAATACTATGAAACAATATTAAGTCTATGGCTAGCACATGGCTATGCTTTTATTACCCTTTCTAGAAGACTCAAATTGATCTTTTGATTTTCGTAAGGTAGTACATATGGATCGCCGTCGAAGCCCCTCGCGTCCTTCTCCACCTGATAATGTCATTCGGAGAGAAACCTTTAATATAAGAACTCTCTAAAACTCCGGTACGCGTGATTAAAGACATATCATCATACGTTTCAGATCGCAACCAGCCTTCTAGGGAACCGGTAATTAAACCGAGTGTCTAGCTGAAAGCCACTGTACTCGGCCGACAATATACCCTAGGTACCTAGGTATGGTACCTAGCATGTATTATCAAAACCCGATAGTGATGAATTGGCTCACTTCGTATTGGCTAATCCCCTTTATTTCGTCTTGAGCTGCCAGTAACGATAACCCCCCACCATCGTAGGACGACCCAGATTACTTGACATAACCCTGAATCTCTTCCGCGCTTCGGAACACGGCTTTTTACATCTTAATATTACATTAAAATAAAAATATATAAACTTTATATCGTTATTTTAATCGACTTAATTAAATAAAAAACTATATAAAAAGTTATAAAATAAAAGTATTATTAAATAAACGGTATAAAATTTAACCAATAAAAAAACGCGTATTTTAAAATAGTTTAAATGGTTAAAACTTATAATAAAATATAAGTATATATTAATAAATTTATATAAAAAGTCAAGTATTTAATAATATATAATAACCTTTTATATTATTTATTTAACCCGTTTTTTACTGTTTATTTAACTTTATTTTTTTATTAACCGTTTTATTAATATTAATTTTAAAATAATTTATTTTATAATATTTTTTTAATTTTTAATTTTTAATTTTTAATTTTTAATTTTTAATTTTTAATTTTTAATTTTTAATTTTTAATTTTTAATTTTTAATTTTTAATTTTTAATAAATTATATAAATTATATAATAAATTTATATATTTATATATACATTTTTAATTATTTATCATTATTTTTTCGTTAAATATAAATTTTTTTATAATTTTAATCTTTTTTTAAAATTGTTTTTAAAATAAGTTTTTATTTATTAATATAATCTTTTATAATAATTTAAATAAAGTTTTAAAATTTAAAAAATATAATATATTATTAAATTGTAAAAAAATATTTACAAAAATTAATATATTTTTTTTATAAATAAATATATTTTTATATTTATTTTAAATATTATATATTTTAATGTTTAATTTATTTTATACTTTTTAATTTTTTAAATTTTCTTTTAAAATTTTTATATTTATTTATACGTTTATTTATAAATATTTTTTTATAAACTTTTATTAATTTTATAACGTTTTATATTAATAATTACTTTTATAATTATAATTTTTTATTTATTTTAATTATTTATTATTTTAATAAAAATTTTATTTTAAATAATATAAAATTATTAATATTTTTTTAATAAATACTTTTTTTAATTTAAATTTTATTTTTTAAAAAATGAATATTAAATAAGTTATTAATATTATTGTTAAACATATAAACTTTGGTTATATGTTTGTAATCGGCGGCGTTATTATTTAAAATTATAACAATTATAAACTTTTTAACGTAACGGTATTACACCGCATTTTTTACATATAAATGTAATTTTATGTTAATTTTAAACTTAATTAAACTTTAAAATTAAACTAATATTAACAGTAAAATGTAAGTTTAAATTAAATTAAAAATATTATATAATATTATATTTAATAAAAACAATAACGTGTATATTAATCATGTTAATATTAATTTAATTATTAATTTAATTTAAATATAAAATTTTTTTAACAAACGTTAATTTGTTAAAAAATCTTTTAAAAATTAAACTTTGTTTTTAATTTTATTTAAAGTTTATTAAAAAATATTATAAAGTAAATTACTTTAAAATTAATAATAATAAAATAATTAATAAAAACATTATTTTTATAAAATATTAAATAAAAATATTATTAATACATAAATTATAAAAAGTATATAATTTCGATAAAATTATTTAATATTTAATAAATATTAAATTTAATTTATAATTATTTAAAACGAAATTATATTTTAACGTTAAAATTGTTTTATAAACGATAAAAATTTACCGTAAATAAAATAATTATAAATTTAACGGAATGTTAAAATTTTAAATTTTAGAAAAAAAGTTATTAAAGCGTTTTATATATATAAAAACGGTAGAAAATAAGGTTTTAATATGTTATTTATATAAATTAAATACTTTTTTAAAGTAAATAAATTTATTTAACTTAAATTAATTAATTTACGTAATATATTAAATTTTTAATTAAATTATTATTAAATATTAATAAAAGTATAAAATATAATTAAAAAATTAAAATAATTAAATGTTAAAAAAATTTAAAAAGTAAAAGTTTTTAAAAAAAAAGTAAAAATTGTTTTAAATATTATATAAATCGAAATATTTTTCAATTTAAATAATAATATTTAATAAATAACCGTTTTAATAATAATAATGTTAATTATAAATTACTAAAAAAAATTTCCACGTAAATTACCTTATAAAACAAGTGTATGCATTTAACTATTAAAATTACTAATAAAATAATATGGCCATTTTTTACCTTATTAATTTTATAAAAGGTTTAAATTTATTAATAATATTAATAAATATATTAATATATTTTTATATATTTAAAATCTTATGGTTAAAACAAATTAATTAATATTAATTTTATTAAAATATAACCGTATATAATAAAGTTAATATAAAAATAATTTATAAATAAAAGAATGTAATTTGTAAATAATAACATGTAATTTATAAATAATAATATTTATTTTATATTTTTTAACCATAATAACGTATTTAATAATAGTTATTTATATAAATCGAATTAATTTAAAAAAGCTAATTTAATAATATTACAATTATATAATAATACCGTATTTTGGTTAAAATATTAAAAAGTAATAAAAATAAATAAATAAGTAAAATAATTAACCAAGTTAATTAAATCGGTTAAGTTTAACGGACTTAATTAAATGATTTAAAAAACATTTTTACAATTTTTATACATTAATTAAACTAATTATATCAATTATATCATTAAAAATATTATCAATATAATTTTTTTAAAGTTAAAATTAATATGTATCGGCCGTATTTTAAAAAGGTTATAAGGTAAAAAGTAACCATGTCATTTTACTAGTAATTTTAATGGTTAAGTGTATACACTTGTTTTATGGGGTAATTTACGTGGAAAAACTAGCATGGTAATTTACAATTAACATCACTTTTTATATATATATTTATAATTATATTTATATTTATATATGTTTAATATATTAATATTTTTAACTTAATAAAACGAAATAATTTCGGTTAAATAATGTTTGGTTATATATATTTACATATTAAAAACAACTTTTTCGGTTATATATTATTATATTTTAAAAATAATCTTTTTGGCTAAATAAATTTATTTTATTTTAAATAAAATATGTTAATAGCTATAAATATTAGCCTTTTTATAAACAATAAAAAAAAATTTAAAAGTAAAAATTTTAATATTTAAAAAATAAATCGAACATTTAAAAAAATAATATTATTTAATAAAATATGTTTAACTTAATTAACGTTTTTATAAAATTTACCGAAAGCTTAAGAAATTTATGTTAAATTTAAAAAATATAAATAAAAGAATTTAATAAATTTTTATTTTTAATTATAATTACGTTTTTAATAAAATAATTTTTATTTGTAATAAAATTTATTAAAATATTGTTTATTAAAATATTTTTGTGTATAATTAAATAAACGTTAATGGTAATTTTTAAAAATATAATGAAAAAATTAATAAAATAAAAAAGGAAATTTATAGTAAATAATAATAAAAACGCAAATAAACTAATTAAATATAAACGTTTTTATTATAAAAAATAAAAATACTTTTAACTTTTTTTAAAAAAAGAATAATAATAAAAATAATAACGTACAATGGGTCGAAAAAATAAACGTTAAATGGTAATGTAACATGGTGTATAACGATTTATAAATTAAATAACTATTTATATTATATAAGTAAAAATCTACTTTATATATAATAAAATACTTAAACCAATGATATAATTTATCCATATTTATTTTAAGTTTTATTATTTACAAAATCCATAAAATATAAAAGATAAATTAATAGGTAATTTTAAAAATAAAATGGTTAAAATAAATATAATTAATTGCGTTTATAAATAATTAAATTAAAAATATTACCATAATTGTTTTAATTTATAAAAATTATAAATATAAATTTTCCATAATTTTAAATTAAATCCTCGAATCTTAACTTAATTTTATTTTAAATATTTTATTAAAACATATATATCAAACGGTTTTCC